TTGCTGAGTGGTTGAACATGAGATATGGTTTGATCCAGGCATGTAAAATCGTCAGAGGAAAGATACACAGATATCTTGGAATGACTTTGGATTTCTCGGTGAAAGGAAAACTCAAGATCCGCATGGACGACCATGTCAAGAACATATTGGAAGATTTTCCTGTCAAATTCAACAAGGATTCAAAGCAGGAAACACCAGCTGGTAACGATTTACTGGAGGCTGGGAAAGGAAAGTTACTACTCAATGCTGAGTACCGTCAAATTTTTCATACTACTGTTGCAAGGGGACTTTATGTCTCTAAGAGAGCTTGTTTGGATATCCATCCAACAATTACTATTCTTGCCTCAAGAGTTCGAGAGCCTACAGAGTCTGATTGGAAGAAGTGTGTTCGCATGATGCGATATTTGTTTTGTACATTGTTGTATCACCTGACACTTTCCAATGAATCACTACGAGTCATGAAATGGATGATCAATGCATCATTTGCGGTGCATCCAGATTTCAAGAGCCATACTGGCGGCACTCTGTCCTTTGGAGGAGGTGGAGCTCAAGTGACGTCAAAGAAACAAAAGCTAAACAGCAGAAGCAGTACGGAAGCGGAACTGATTGCTGTTGACAATGTTGTCATGATGATACTATGGACAAAGTTGTTCATGGAGTGGCAAGGGTATCCGATTGAGAAGAATATCTTGTATCAGGATAACAAAAGCGCGATTCTACTGGAAGAGAATGGTTGCAAGAGCGCGGGCAAAAGAAGCCAAGCTATCAATATTCGTTATTTCTTTATCACAGATCAAGTTGAGAAAGGAAATGTTAAGATCAAATACTGTCCAACTGACGATATGATTGCGGATTTTATGACTAAGCCATTGCAAGGTGAGAAATTTTGCAAGTTCAGGGATCTGATTCTTGGTCCACAGGAATAGGTCAGACAAGTATGTATATGTTCAGAAGAAAATACAAAACAAAAATAAAGAGTGAATGAGAGCATGTCCCATTGCTGCCAATGGTGATTGCCACAATGGCAGGAGTGTGTTGGAATATGACAAAATATGAGTTTTTACGTTCCAAAAAGAAACTATTCAAGTACAATTTTTTTGACACGTACGATCGAACTTTGATCGTGATGTTGGGATTTGACGCAAGTATGCCGGACGCAAGTCTGTCGGACAATCTACATCCACACAAAAAGGGAATGACCCTGTACAAGTGAGATATCGGTGTTGTGTACAATGCAGTAGGGAATAATACAAGATGTCCCAAAGTACTGCATTCAACACAGAATTGCCGTAGAGGTCAAATCAAGTTCTGTAAACAAGGGATTTTCCAAGGAAAAATTGTTGAACTTACTTTTGTGATTGAATCATCAATTCAAGCCAAACATTAATCAAATAGGAACAATTTCACTCAAAGTATACCTAGACACAGGAGAACTATTGATGTGAAAGTGTTGTACAGTCAACTACAAATTTAGATTGCAGAGAGTTTGTTCTGAGCGCTAAAGGCACTCACAATAGAGCACATTTTGCTTTATTCTAACAATTGCAAGAACTCAAAGTGACCAAACATCCTTAGCAACTTTATCCTCGATTGTGGAGGGATTGAGCAAAGAGATGAGGTATTGGTCCAGCTGAGCGTTATCAGAATTGAGATAATTAAATATCTAAATAAATCTCCCATAGCATGTTGATGTGCCCATGAAATTGTTGAACAAGGCATCGTATTGTAGGCATGGTTGATTCCATGCGCCAGGGTATGGTTCATCCCAGGCTGCAAATAAAGGATTACCCGTTTGAATACAGTCCATTCTTTGCAACGCATAAAACTCAGAAATCAAAAATCAAAAACTAAAAGGTAGAAGATTATTTTCCATGCGCAGCACTAAAGCAAAACTGTACCAGTCCTACGCGTTTTCTACATAAAGGAAAACAGTTGTTGTTGCTGAAACAGGAAAGAATTTTACTTTAACATGAAGGATAACATTGTCAACCCGCCGGAGAAGGATCCGAATTTGATCATGACTGTAGCTGACCAAGGTGAGGTCTTGAGGCAAAAACCCGATCAAATTAGACCACTCAATTGTCTATTGCTCTAACAAAGGATATTCCTGCCATCATGACTCCCAAGCGCAGCAGCAAGCGAAACCCTTCAGAAAAACCGCCAAGGATGGCGCAATGAAAGGCCGCTCGCTCTTCCCATCTGCAGTTCCCCAAGTTCAGGACGTCACGGTCAATACTCGCCCAAATCCGACCACTCCTTTGTTGATTGAGTTAACTAAGGACAATCCGCCTGATCCCACGACTTCAAAGAGCCAACGCAAGCATCCCCCTCCTTCCAAAACCGCCAAGGATGGCGCAGTGCAAGGACAAACGCTCGTTGCCTACATCACAAAACTCAAGGTGTCAACGTTTCATAGGCTCTACAAGAAGGCTTGGAGACAGGAGATGTTTGCTCTTGCAACGGCCCAACGCGTTATCACTACTGACGAAAAGTCGCCTCGCTTTTGGGAATTTTCGCTTGTGTTCAACCCAACATTAATTGTTCAACGCGCCAAGCCGTTGACTTGGATGTGGCGAACGGCATCCAAATTCTTCGCTAATCCTGCTATCATTCCTCACATTGTGGAGGAATTTGAGCGACTAAAACGAGAGCTACAAATAGCCAAAGCTCAGTACAAGTTTCCACCAAAACAAGGTTGGAACCAGACGGAACTTCTTCGCTATTTACACACAACAACAATCCTATTTTACGACGTCTGCGCTGCCCATCAGACGTGGCCACCAACCATGGGCTCAAATGACGACAAATCACAAGAGATGGGTTTGAAATCGACAAGGACTGCACCTGAGCTCGCTCAGGAAGGTCTGGAGGCAACAACCCGCTCGAATTCTACCACCCTATTAACGGTTGACCTTGTGAAGGACAACCCCTGTGAACACAAATTCTCCATGTTGTACAGCATATTTGTCTTGTTTCTTTCTCTGGAAAAGATACAGCAGACCGATTTTCTTGGTCTACCCTTCCAAATCC